CTGAGTTTCAAAAACCTTACCAGAACAACAGCAACTTCAACAGGAATTATGGTTCTTCTTCTTACCAATCTGCACCTCCACAAGATAATAAGATGAAAGTTATGCTGGAGCAGATCTTAGAAGGACATCATAAGATGACAGTGGACTTCAATGGCAAGATAGATTCGTTGTATCAGGACCTGAACGGAAAAATTGATAGTCTGAACTCTCACATGAAGAAGCTGGATGTTCAGGTTGCTCAAACTGCAGGAGCTGTTCAGAGGCAAGAGGGATTCCTTCCTGGAAGGACTGATGCTAATCCCAAACACCATGTGAATACCATCACATTAAGGAGTGGAAGGAACCTGCAACCAGTGTTGCAGAAGGGTTTGACTTCAGAGGAATTCGTTGGACTTGAAGAGTCTGAAGATGATGAAATTCCTGCTGAAAAAGAGCGAGTGACGATCGTCATCCCTGAAGGGTGTCGCTCGTCACCCACTTTCTAAAGGCCCGACACAACTTCGTCCCACATCAGTGATGATCGCCACCAGGAGGGTGACGCTCGTCACCAACCACGAACCACAGTTGTTTTGCCTGAGACTTCAAACAATGCTAAAGAAACGGTGTAAAAGCCTAAGGTACCCTATCCTAAGCATCCTAAGAAGTCTAAACAGGAGCTTGAAGATGCTAGATGCAAGGCTATCATGGACAAACTGGTCATTGAGATTCTCTTGATTGATGCTGTGAGGATTACTCCTTTTATTAGGAGATATATGAAGGGGATGGTGACTAACAACTTGAGCCTGAGCAAAAAGAAATAATGATCAACGAGCAGGTCAGTGCAGTGATTCAGAACAGAGGACCATAGAAGCTTTCAGACCTTGGAAGCTTTGTGTTGGGCTACACCATATTTTCAGATAGGTTTGAGATATCATTGTGTGATCTTGGTTCTAGTGTGAACCTGATGCCTCATTATGTTGCCAATAGCTTAGGAATGACCGATTTAAAGCTACCAGGATATCTCTTGTCCTAGCTGATAATTCAGTCAGAGTCCCTTAAGGTGTTATAGAGGATGTTCCTATCAAAGTAGGAGATTGTATGATTCCTACTGATTTTGTGGTTCTGGAGTATGGAGAAGAACCCAAAGATCCTCTGATTCTTGGCAGACCTTTCCTGGCTACTGCAAGAGCTATTATAGATGTCAGGAAGGGAAGAATTGAGCTGAATGTTGGTGACTTGGTGATGTAATTCGAAATGGACAAGCTGGTGAAGAGGCCAACCATAGATGGACAGATATTCTGTGTGGATGTTCTTACCAACTTTGTTAAACAGATCTTCCAAGAGATGAGTCCAAAAGATCCACTTGAGAGGGCGTTGACCACTTCTACAGCAGAGGTTGGGCATCTAAATTCAGCTGCTACTGGTTATAGAAAGATGATGGATGCTACTGCACATGTTATGCAACTGGTTGCACAGGAAGAGCTAGTCAGCACATCTGCGAAAGCTGCTGCAGTGGGCGATTGGAGTGCAGCAAAAGCACCAAAGGTTGAGCTTACACAGCTCCCTGCATGGCTAAGGTACGCCTTCCTTGGAGAAAAATCCACTTATCCGGTCATTGTTAATGTTTAATTGAACATGCATAGCTCACCCTTTTGCTAAGAAAGCTGCGTAGATTTTGCAAAGCTCTTGGCTATTCTCTTGATGATATTTCAAGTATTTTTCCAGACTTGTGCATGCATAAGATACATCTGGAAGATGAATCGAAATCATCATTGAGCATCAGAGGAGGCTGAATCCGAACCTGCAGGATATTGTCCAGAAGGAGATTATCAAGCTGCTGCAAGTTGGGATCATCTATCCCATATCAGACAGAGCCTGGGTCAGTCCGGTTCATGTGGTTCCTAAGAAAGGAGGAGTCATAGTGAGGAAGAATGATAAGATTAAGCTGATTCCTACCAGAACAGTGACTGGACATGGGATGTGTATAAACTGCAGGAAGTTGAATGCAGCCACAAGGAAAGATCACTTCCCATTGCCATTCATCGATCAGATGCTGGAGAGGGTGGCGAATCACAAGTACTACTGCTTTCTAGATGGATATTCAGGATTCTTTCAGATCCCCATCCATCCAGATGATCAGGAGAATACCACCTTTACTTGTTCTTATGGCACATTTGCGTATCGCAGAATGCCATTCGAATTCTGTAATGCTCCTGCGACATTCCAGAGGTGTATGATGTCGATTTTCACAGACATGATTGAGAAGTTTATGGAGGTCTTTATGAATGACTTCTCAGTCTATGGGTCTTCCTTCAAAAGCTGTCTGGAAAACTTGTGTGCAGTTCTGCAGAGATGTGAAGAAAAGCACTTGGTCGAAATTAGGAGAAGTGCCATTTTATGGTACAAGATAGCATTGTTCTTGGTCACAGAATCTCTGGAGATGGCATAGAAGTGGACAGGGCAAAAATTGAAGTTATGACAAGTTTGTAGGCGCCTGATTCTGTCAACGCAGAGAAGTTTTCTGGGTCATGATGGGTTCTACAGAAGATTCATCAAGGACTTCAGCAAGATTGCAAGACCTCTTACTGCTCTTCTCTGCAAGGATGTGAAGGTTGAATTCTCTGCAGAATTTCAATCAGCTTTTGAACATATCAAAAATGCCTTGGTGACAGCTCCTATTGTGCAATCTCCAGACTGGGATTTGCCTTTTGAGGTAGTGTGTGATGCCAGCAATTTTGCAGTTGGAGTAGTGCTGGGACAGGGGAAAGACAAGAAACTACACGCCATCTACTATGCTAGCAGAACATTGGATGAAGCTCAGAAGAACTATGCTACTACTGAGAAGGAACGGTTGGCAGTGGTTTGAATTTCAAAACTGTTAGGAAAATCCATTGGTTCTTCGTATGTGCTTGCATTCATATCGATTTCTGAGACTAATCATCTAGATTTCGAAATGTTAGGTTGTTTATGTGAGAACATTGTTAATCACCTGAACTAGTATTAGATGAGCAAAACGCCTACTTGCAAAGAGATTTGACTTAGGAGTTTTGTGAACAATCGAAACATGATCTTTAATGCTTGCTTAACTTGTTAGAATTTGCAAAGAGGTTTGGAATTCTGTGAATTAGGCATAGGTAACTTCTGCAATGAGAATTGATTATTTATATCATTGAGTTTTGAGTTTAAGACGGTTTTAGTTCATTCCTGCTTGCATGCATTCTAAATTCTTGGATTCAACCTATGAATTATTCTGCCTTAGCGCCTTTAGCTTTCTGAACTTAGATCAACAAAAAATCGCCTGCTTCCATTACTTTAGTTACTTTGCATTACGTTCATTATTGACTGTTTAGCTTAATTTGAATCTATAATTGCTAGTGTAGTAAGTTTACTCCCTTGGGATTTGATAACCTTTTATGCTACAACTGCTTTGCTGTGCACTTGCAGTAGTTAATTAATTGGGTAGAACCTGAACCCTATCACAGTACCATCCCAATCCTACATTAGGACTAGAAAATTTCCATGAACCATTTGTTTGACATGTCAAACCACCCCTGAAGTTAAACGTATCTTGGGTACCTACAGGGGGCGGATCTAGTGTATCTTGTGATTCCTCCCAAGCTATTGCTTCCGCTGTTGCTAGCCTAACCATCTCCCGGGGATCCTGATCAATGTTCGAGAAGAATTTATCATTCGGCATTTTCCATATATACCATAAGAACCAGGGATAAACTTTCATATCTTCATGATTCGGCAAATGCCAGAATAATAGCCATGTTGGAAAAAAATCCACCCGTTGGAAAACCAGTAGTCGATGTGGGGACTACTGAAAGCGCCCATAATTGGAGAGGCGGGGGGTGGGGGGGCATTCAAAAACTGTACGGTTAATCGTCTCTTGTATTTCCCCACAACATTGACATTGAGGGTCGCAATTAATGCCTCTATTCCTGAGTCAATCTGTGACCGCTGCTAGACATCCTGAAATCGCTTGCCATAAAAAGTGCTTCATTTTTTGTGAACATTTTACGGACCACATATGTGCTTGTAGCTCACTAACATCTGGTCCATATAGGGGTGCTGATGTTGTCTTTAAATGCATATTTTGTCCCGTAAGGTACTCGGATTTTACCGTGTATCGGCCATTCTTTGTAAAATGCCATGCCATAAGATCATACCGCCGATGTCTAGTGGTAGGCAGCCCCAATAATGAGGGAAATGTCCTTTCGAAAGATTAATTGTTGAAGTAGTGGTATATTCCACGTGAAAGTTACGGTATCAATAAGTTGATTGACCGTTAGCTCAGGGTAGAGGTTATACCCTTTGCAAGTTGCTGATCTCGGCCCTGAGTCCGATATCCAAGGATCACTCCAGACTGATATGGAATGACCAGATCTAACCGTTTTGATTTGCCCTTTATTTACCAAAGATCTAACAGATATACTTTTCCACTAATACGATGCAGAATACGAACATATTAGGTCCAGCGGTGTACCATTTCGATAATAACATCCTTTAAAAACTCTTGCAAAAAGAGAATCCGGATAATCTATTAATCTCCATAGCTGTTTAGCAAGGAGCGCGGTTGTGAAATCCTCAATAATTCTGAATCCAAGCCCCCCATGTATTTTATGTTTGCAGAGTTTATTCCATGCTAACCAACACATATCCCTTGTCTGTCCATTGCTGCTCCACCAAAACTTGGCCATCGTACTAGTTAACTTGGTTGTTGATGCTTTTGACAACCTGAAACATGACATAGTGTAAGTCGGGACTGCTATAGTCACCAACTGTATTGCTTTATTCTTATATATTTTATTTCTATATATATATATTTATAATTAGTTAGCTAATTAAATTTAATAATAAATTATAATTTTAGAAAAAAAAAATATAATGTTTATTTATATATAAAACATATAAATACATAACTTAAGCTAACAAAAAATAAATATAATACTCATTTACATTATAAAAATAATTTTATTATATTAAAATTATATACAAAATTTAGAAAAATATATATAGACAACATTTAGAAAAATATCCCGCAGCGGGTAAATACCTAGTAATATTAATAACAGTTGGATCCAAACAAGATACACACAATTCCACAATTCCATAAACTCCATAACACAATCCTAAATCCTCATAATACACCACCAGTCCATAAACTCCCCAAGCCTCTGAGTAATACATAAGGTAATTGAGAACCAATACCAATAGACATATTCCTTAATCACCCAAAACAGAATAAGTCGTATCCCTAACTTCACGTTAACACCTTCGAGGTTACCAAAATTATCCCAAATACAATACCACAGGAAACCTGATCTGAAATACAGTGATTGTAAATAGGAGAGAGGGAAGAAATACACAAAAATCTGTTCCTTTGCATAACCCATCACTTCACTAAACCTTGTATACCAGCGAAAGAATCCACTTATGCCATTTCCCCACCATCACATTTGTCCATGAGATTGCGAATGTAAGCACATCCTTTGACCAACCCCAGGAAGCACCACCACTCCCATCACCAAAGGAGAGAACCCTGTAAAATCCAAATTACTAGCAACCGCAACAAAACCCACAATCTTCATACCCTTCGTATACCATCAACAATTTCAAGGAAAGCCAATTACCAAGCTTAACGAATACACGAAAGCTGGTTCTCTGCCTGCCACACAATCCTGATGAGTAGAAAGCCGCCGCTGATACCCTCCTCCATGGAATCTAGTTCCCCCACTATTAATTCCCCATAGATCTGAAATCGTTGAATCGAAATCCTGCCAATCCTTTGAATTGTCGCCTTCTCCTTGTGTATCCTCAAGCTGAGGCCCTTGAGTTGAACCAAAATAACCACGAAATCCCCCAGTATGATTCGAGATTGAATGGCATAGAGCCCTAGATCCCCCTTTTTCATCGCCTTCGAAATATATTTTTATGAAAAAATTAAATTGAATTAACCAAATAATTAGTGAGATTTATTCTTAAAATTTTCTTTTTTATGTGTTGGGCCAAGATAATTAGTTACTGGATAATTGCTGTGAATTTATTTGTAACACGTTATTTGAGCCATTTTTTTACTTCTCATGGCCTAATATATTCGATGAACCAAATAGATAATTTATGTTCTATCTCTTAGCTTTTCTAAATTAGGGTATGTTGGAAAGGATTGAGAGACAAAAAAAGAATTAAGATCTCTGATAGATCTTGTTCAGGCCATCGAGTTTCCTCTGTGATTTTTCAATATTTTAGTTCATCATCAGCAATTCTTTGAAAACATAATTATTCAGCTCTACCAGTTCCTTGTATTACGGAAAACACCTTCTGAAGTCACTTCCAAATATGATTTCTTAAACTTTATCATATTATTAATTAAGAAGAAAGTTGGGCTGTGGTTTAGAGTTATGATGGTTGATTACCTTTTGCCCCTTATGTGAATTTATTTTAATTACCCTTAATGAAATTAACAAATTAATATAATCTAATTTTTAATTGATTTTCGTTTTTTTTTTAAATCTAGATTTCTAAATCCGAGTTTATATTATAAAAAAATATTCAGTTTACTAAAAAAGGTAACTAGCACAAATAATAAAAAATCCTAGTTATTTTATTAAACTAATTTTAATTTGATTGTTTAACCTACAAATATTTTGACTAACCTATTTGATTTATGTGATCACAAGTAAAACCTAAATCATTTAAACCTTTTTAAAACTCTATATATATTAATTAATATTAAATTGATATGAAACAAGGATCATTTGGTTTTGGTTATTTTGGATTGCTATGCTATGTTGCATGGAAACAGAAACGGGTACGTGGAAGCGGAACGTTTCGAAACGTAGAAACGTCATTTTAAAAAAATATAGAAGTGGAAACGTTTTGGAAACGTATATATATTATATTAAGTATTAAAGATCCAATTATATTATAAGTAGAATATTTAAATCAACAAAATCTAATATATAATTTTTACATAATTAGTGAACTACAAAAATTAAAATATATAAAGTCAAAAATTTAGAAGATTTTTTTTATTGTCAATTTTATTAGTTTTATTAACTAAACTATCTCTAATTCTAATTCATCGAGAGAATAATTTTCAAACTTAATAATATCAAAATTAATCTTAATTACCTAATTAAAATATTTATTATTTATTATAAATAATTAAATTGATCATTTAATTTAATTTTTATAATTATCTATTTGTTCCATAAAAATAAAAAATTAGTTTGTATCTTCTTTCCAAAATAGAAACGCGTGTTTCTAAAATGAAAACGCGTTTCCAAAATGTTTCCAAATTAGAAGATCACAAAATATTCGAACTATGATTCATACTTAATACTCAGACCTCGTAGTCGGAGAAACGTGATTTTTCGTGTTTCCAACGAGTTTCTGAGAGTTTCGGTTTCCGAAACGTTTCGGAAACGGGAAACGTACCTCGGACGGAGTTTCCATGCAACCTAGTTGCTATGTCTTTTTTTATGCAATCTTTGAATTTCATTAATCTCAATCTACCAATTTACATCTAAAGAAAAGGATTATTTGTCATGTTTGATAAATGCAACAAAAGAACAAAACATACATATAAGTTTTTATCAGATAATATAGAAGATATTAAAAAAATAAAATATAAATAATATATTTTGCTTTGTCACAAAAAAATATATATCATGAAAATTATATATTTTTAAATATATTAAATTATATTTTTTTAAATATATTAAATTTGTTTTGAATCATATAAAATCTAATTTTTTATCTATAAATAAACTAATATTATACTTTTTAAAAAAAATTAATCGAACACCGTACATAGTACGGGAAACACCTAATATAAAATTATTTGACGTAAACTAATTACAGATATAGCTTCTTAAATTTTGTATAAAATTATTTGATGTAGGCGAAATTTTCTTTTAACTACACATAGGCACGGCCCAGCGTGCCTGACTTTAAGTTGGTGCTTTTAAATATTGAATACTATATGCCTAAACCGATTAGGTTCACAGTTTCAAATTTACAAATAATCCTACTTCCCTAATTATTTTGTATACCATTTTTTGGTGCAACTTTTTTCTTGTAGTATTTCTTTTCTTTCTTGTAGTGTAATATGAATCGAAAAACTCGTGAGAAAGAAACACTTTTTCAACTCTCATGACTCATTTATTAACTCAATCGCTGTTTAAGCTTATTTTTAGGTTATGTTTCTTCTATTCACTTTGGATTCTTTTTTTTTAATAAATTCTATCAGCTAATCTGGTCGGCTTCGATAGAAAGGTGCTATAGCATGGATTTCTTTTTCATTAATTCAACGGTTTAACGGTTAAACAGACACTATGAACTCCAAGAAAATTGTTGGATTCTTTGTGTATATATTTCTGTTGAGCCGCAAAATTCGCATACGGCCCACGGGAATCCAACGCATGGACAGCAGACGCTGCGGGAACCCAAAGCGCATTAAATGCATCGTACCTACCAAAGAAGGCCGTAATAATGGCGGTTAGGATATGACGGAGCAGGTCGGCAATCTGTTCCTCTGGCCACACGCAAAGAAGAGTCCAGGAATGGGTATAGTGATGAAAAACGACGGAAGTTAGTAGTCGACCCGGAGAGTCTGGAGACTCGAACCCGGGGGCGACCCAAAACCAGGTATCTCCTATAAAAACCCACTCCTCTCAACAGCCGAGATGAGGAGACATCTAGAACGATCATTTCATCTTCTAACTTCATTCTCGATATGTTATCAAAATTCCAAAAGCTTTGTCGGGATCCCTACGAACCGACATAGAGCCCCATTCCCCGTCCTTCCGATAAAGATAAACTCGTTACGTCCAGTCCCATGTCCCTTTTTCTGACTAGAGCGTCGGAGCGTAATCGGAAGGGCAACCCTTTCCTATTACTTGTGTCCTCTATTTTCCTTCCTGTGACATTGCAGGCTATCCCATCCCCCCCCCAGAGTTCAAATCTCCCCCGCAATACCCGACGACCAATCAAATACTTCCACGTGGAATCCCGAAATTTTCTCCCGAACAGTTGGCGCTAGAAGGAGGGGGGAAGAACAAGCCTAATGTCGAACGAAGGAAGCGATTCGCCGAGCCCGCCGAAACAAGGCATCCGAGGGGACTACTGATAAACAGAAATGTTTTGGGACTGTTTTGTCAAAGCGAAATGCACTATTAATGATGTAGTATATGTGCAAGAGGTATCAATCCAGCCTAGGTAGTAGAAAGGCACTAAGATGCAGGAGTAAAGCAAATCTAAGCAGATTAGGGTAAATGGATGAGAAATTCTACGAAAACTAAATGCAACACGAAATGAGCAAGAAGACTATTTTAAAATCCCTGGAAGAGGGTTAACAACTACTAGAAGAAAACTAGGAATTTAAAAAGTAAAAATACTAATTACTAAAAATCGAGAACTAAAGCGGGTAAAACAGAAAATTTCTAGCAACTTAAGATGTCAAGCAATGAAACTAAAGCAAAGATGCGAACTTGAAGACTTGGAAATGAAAACTTGAGGTTTTGAAATGCTACAAAGAGGGTTCAGGGTCGAGGGTCATGTTCAAGAGAGTTCAAAGGTTCAAGCTTTTGGTTTGAAAACACATAGATCTACTCATTTGATGAGCTTTCTCTAAGCCTTGAGAAACTTAAACTAGGATCATCTATGGCGTGTGGTATGACCCCTTTCTTCGACCCTTCCTCCAAACCTATGGCATGTAGTGGAAAGATGGGTCAAAGAACACTAAGCAAAGATCCCAAATATTGGCTTAACTAGCTTCCTAAACAACCATGGCGTTTGGAAAAGAAAGCTAGTCTCTTGGATTTGGCTTTAAAGGATTTCTGAATCCGGTCAAGGTAAGAAAAGCCCTGGAATCATAGAGATCTTTTCCAAGACTCTCTAAGCTTTAAGACTCCAAATCCAAGAAGAGAATGGATTAAGAACAAGAAAAAGATCAAAGCTTAAACCCTTAAACCCCTTAAATCGCCCCAACATTAAACCCAAAGGAAATCTACTCACTACTCATGTTTAAAACCGATGGAAATGTAAAGAAAAGAAAGATAAGCATGATTAAACTACTAAGATTAAGCAAATACTCAATGATTAAGAAACGATTAAGAGTTTAAAACATGAAAGAGCTTGAAATCGTAACAATGGATGTTTTTCGCCTTAGACAATAAGAAAAGCTAAAAAGGTCCAAGACAAATCGAATGGATGAGAAACGATTGCCTAAAATGGCAAAAACATCAAAATGGTCCCCCCCACAAGAGTCCAAAAATGACTTAGCCGGATAAGGTTGTAGGGATCGAGCTGAGTCATCGATCTGGTCACTCGATCTCTCGGCTAGAACGGCTGCTTTTGCTCGATCCTCGGGTCGATTCATGAGGGTTGATCAAGTGCTTCAGTCGATCCTCCGGCCAATCCTCGGATGATCGGGTCGTGAACTCGATCTGGCTCTCGTTCTGCATGGCTTGATTCACGTCCATACACACGATCGATCACCTAGGTCAATCTTGAACTTGATCTCTTCCTTGAAACGATCCGGGCTGTCGATCTTCTGGTCGATCTCATCTAGATCGACCTGCCTAGCTCGATCTACCTCTCGATCTCGGTTCCCTTGTAGCAAGGCTGATTTCTCCTAAGTTTCCACGAGCTCCTCTTTGATCCTTAGCATGTCCACGAACTCTCCACAGCTCCAATGTGTCCAAAACAACCTAA